ATCTTCCATAACTATGGTAAGTTTACGTTGCTTTATTTCTTCCAAAATTAGCCTTGTCCACATTCTTGTAGTTGTGGCCGCTTATCCCCTTTGCAAGCCATCTCTGCATGATAAGTAATTCACTCATCTCTCTGCTGCTAAATATGGTAAATATTCCACAAACCTTGTGACTTCCTCACATTGTTTGTATAATCCTAATTTGTGGTTGCTTCACATGGTAAGATACCTTGTAGATTTCTTCTTGATCTCCTCCAAACAAATAATATGATTAAAGATCTTAACCAAATAAAATCAACAGAACAATGTAAAACAAGATGATAAACAATTCCCTTTTATCTTTTAGTTAGGAGTGATTGGTAGTTCTGGAGACATGTCTACAAGAGCGGTTCGGTCCTTTGGGGTGGTCGGTCGGGTTGCCGTTGTCGTGTTGCTCTTGGTGTTTTGTCGGTTACGGGAACGGTGTTGTCTAGCCTTAGTTTTTTTTTTGTTTGTTTGTTGTTTTGTTTGTGTTCATTGGCGTTGGTGGTGCTGTGTTTTTGTGGTTCTCCCGTATGGGAGTGTGGTTTCTGCTGTAAAGGAGTGTGTATTCTCTCGTATGGGAGCGTGTGAGTTATCCCTCGTGAAGAGTGTGTATTCTCCCGTAAGGGAGTGTGTTATCTCCCATAGGGGAGCGTGATTTTGTGGTGGTTGTTTGTGGGTGTCTTTTGTGCTAATAGGTTCTAAGCGATCTCCGGATCCGACTCTCAATAGATTCGACTTTGGAGCTGTTTCTTTCAGCTGTTGGGTTGTTTTCTAGATGTAATTATGTGTTTTATATAAAATCTCTATCGTTTGAACAAATAAAAAATTTTCACTTTTTTTTCCGAAATGATAGAGGTACTATATTAATAAAACCGCACAAAGTGCGAGAAGAAAGCAACCAAAAGTTGAATAGTACAACCAGAGGCTATAAAATTGGGAGGCAAATTCGAAGATCGCCTAGAACCATATAACAATGCTAGAATGACAAAACTCACAACTACACTAAAACAACTAACACGACCAAAAAACTAAAACAACTAAAATGATCCCAACAGGATAATGTCCTAGTGTAGGATCCCAACAAGATAATAAGTTTACACCAGGGCTCACAGAGGCCAAATGGCCCAAACAAAAAACACAAGCACAAAAACATACAAAACAAACTACAAAACAAACACTGAAAAGACAATAAAAAATACACTAGCTTTCCCTCTACAACAAATCTTAACTAGACTAGCAACCACCAAATCAACCTAGGGGGATTCAACAACATGAGAAGAGCGACCCCTCCACTACCAAACTGCCTAGCTGAATCAAAGCTCATACTACGAATCCCGCCCAAAGCCAATTCTCCCAACGCCGAGAAAGCTCCCAACACCGCCAGACCGAGCCCCCTAACACCACTAGCGGACTCTGAAAGAACAGTAAGCACACCGGAACCTAGAGAACCGGGGAAAGAAACTGTCTCAATGCCTCAGCCCCAGCCCCACCATCCCGAAGTCACAAAGACACCTCAGCCACATAAGAACCCAACCCCGAACCGCATGCACCAAACCCTGCCTCCCCACATTATGCCGCAGCCACAGAGCTCCGCCAAACTTAACTTCAGAGAGAACATAGAAAGCACAGAGCACCGCCAGTCGCAGGCAAAAGAGAACCGAGACAGGAACGACAAGAAGAGAAAACTCACCCTCAATCAAGTCCGACAAATCCAAATTCTGACCAGTCTTCAATCAAAAGCTCGCCACCTACAATCACCATTCCGCCGGCGAAAAGGAACAGCACATACCGACATACCCCCAACATACCTCGACGATCGGAAAAAACGAACCCAGAAGTCCATCCAATCCGACGAAGGCGAGTTCAGAGAGAGGGTGCCTGAGTAGCCAATGACGCTCCGACCCAAGGGGGCGAACAACCAGAGTTGATCTCGATCCTAACCCATTGCACTGCGACCCATGGACCCTCCACCGCACCGACTATGCCTGCAATCGCAAACCCTAACCAACCTGTCGGAGAAAACGAATTTGATTTGACGACAACGAAAACCACCGGCACCCGTGGAGAACAGTGTCGCATCATCTGGGAAAGGTCGGGCGGCGAGGGAACGACTACCGACAAAGCGGAAGGTCGAGAGGAAGGCGACGATGACGGAATATTATCGATGAGAGAGAAAGAAAATTAGGGATCGACTTTTAGAGAGAGAAAAATATATGTATTATTGAGCAGTAAATCTTCATGATATTAAGATCGCCTCCACCGATGCAAAAAATGCAAACGCACCAAACTCAAATAAAGAATCTTACCTTGTACCAAAAAAAAAAAAATAATAAATAAATAAATAAATAAAGAATCTTACCTTCAACCGATTGCCAAAAGCAAACTCAAATAAAGAAATTTGCCTACAATTTCCGTAAACTATTATCATAGGAAATTTATGTATAACATTATTGAAATTCGAAATAACATTATTTTTAAAACAATGATAATCATATTTATCTTCGATTTTATATATATCAACATACTAGTGTAAAAGGTATACATATTCAATTTTTTTTACCCACACTAAAAAACTAACACTAAAGACTAATATATAATAAAAATTTTAGACACATATAAAATAACAAATTCAATCCAACAAAAATATTTGTACAATGTTTCTTGATATATGATACAAACACTTCGAATACATAACTTAAATCCAAAAATTACGAAAATATTGACAATATTTTTTTAAAAAAATTATACAAATACAATAATATAATATATCAATATTCTAATAAAATATTGATAATAAATTCAAACAACTCATCTATAGTATTTTCTTAAGTTAAATAATAAAAATATAGTTTTGGCTCATGAATCATCAACCTATAATAATTGAATATATATATAT